TTATTTATTTATTTATTTATTTATTTATTTATTTATTTATTTATTTATTTATTTATTTATTTATTTATTTATTTATTTATTTATTTATTTATTTATTTAAAATGCCCTGCCCTCATTCTGTGCTTTAGAACTTCCTTTTAATTGCAAATTCATTTAGTTCTCTGGCCAATATAGGAAATAATGGGCTGGTTCTTTTACTCTTTGTGTCAGAAACACCACAGTACAATTAATAAATATAACAGATCATTTTCATCCAATAACAGGCAACATTAAGAGTACCTGGGGCAGCTAGTGATGGGTTGTTCCCTGCCCTCATTCTGTGCTTTAGAACTTCCTTTTAATTGCAAATTCATTTAGTTCTCTGGCCAATATAGGAAATAATGGGCTGGTTCTTTTACTCTTTGTGTCAGAAACACCACAGTACAATTAATAAATATAACAGATCATTTTCATCCAATAACAGGCAACATTAAGAGTACCTGGGGCAGCTAGTGATGGGTTGTTCTTCCTTTCCATGTTATCATCCTGGCATTGTCTGCTGTTTCTTCAAGATTCACAGATGTTTTTTGGGGGGCTTCTCCTTTATTTTAACCTGATAGAAATGGATTGGAGTGGAAGCACATGTGGTGTAGATGCTTTGAGCTTTTTGCAATTAGCTGCTATATCTTTTTGTATGTCACTGGGTGCAATACTTGTTAGGTACTTGATTTTATCAATAGGGGTTGGCTTCAGGCATCCAGTAATGATTCTGCAACTTTCACTGAGTGCTTTGTCCAGTTGTTTTCCACAATCTGAACTGTGCCACACTGAGTTGGTGTATTGGCCAGCAGAATAACATAGGGCTGAAGCTATAGTTCTTAGGGCTTAGGGTTGTGTGCCCCAACTAGTTCCTGATAGCATTCAAAGAATATTGTTCCTTTTGCTTTGTTTTTCAGCAGTGTTTCTTATAGATCCAAATACAATCCAAAGTAACATCTGGGTATTTGGTGGGTGGAAATTATGATCTAAGATGCTTATTTGTTTCTCAGATGGAAGAGGACACAGAAGGATCCCCCTTGAAGAAAGTGAACACATTCAGGCACCCACTGGGCAGTATCAGCACTTGTCCACTGATTCTTTCATTCTTTCTACTGCAGAAGCATCAACATGAGGTGGTACAAACGCTCTTGGATGGGGTGATTCACAGAAACATATTCATCACTGAATGACTATAGCATCAGGTGGAGACTTGCATGTGCAGATCAGCTTCTGTTGTTGTTTAGTCATTAAGTTGTGTCCGACTCTTCGTGACCCCATGGACCAGAGCACGTCAGGCGCTCCTGTCTTCCACTGCCTCCCAGAGTTGGGTCAAATTTATGTTGGTAGCTTCTGTGACACTGTCCAACCATCTTATCCTCTGTCATCCCCTTCTGCTCTTGCCTTCACACTTTCCCAACATCAGAGTCTTTCTAGGGAGTCTTCTCTTCTCATGAGATGGCCGAAGGAGTCTCCTCCAGCACCAAAATTCAAAAGCATCAATTCTTTGGCAGTCTTTATGGTACAGCTCTCAGTTCCATACATCGCTACTGGAAAAACCATAGGTTTGACTATGCGGACCTTTGTCGGCAAGGTAAAGTCTCTGTTTTTTAAGATGCTGTTTAGGTTTGTCATTGCTTTCCTCCCAAGAAGCAGGCATCTTTTAATTTCGTGGCTGCTGTCACCATCTGCAGTGATCATGGAGCCCAAGAAAATAAAATCAGTCACTGCCTCCATTTCTTCCCCTTTTATTTGCCAGGAGGTGATGGGACCAGTGGCCATGATCTTAGTTATTTTGATGTTGAGTTTTAGACCATTTTTTGCGCTCTCTCTTTCACCCTCATTAAGAGATTCTTTAATTCCTCCTCACTTTCTGCCATCAGAGTGGTATCACCTGCATATCTGAGATTGTTGATATTTCTTCTGGCAATCTTAATTCTGGCTTCGGATTCTTCCAGTCCTGCCTTTTGCATGATGTATTCTGCATATGTTAAATAAGCCGGGGACAATATACAGCCTTGTTGTAGTCCTTTTCCAATTTTGAAGCACTCAGTTTATCATGTCCATCTTTGCACAAAATGTTCCTTTAATATCTCCAATTTTCTTGAACAGATCTCTGGTTTTTCTCTTTCTATTCTTTTCCTCTATTTTTTTGCACTATTCATTTAAGAAGGCCCTCTTCTCTCTCCTTTCTATTCTTTGGAAGTCTGCATTCAGTTTTCTGTACCTTTCCCTATCTCCTTTCCATTTTGTTTCCCTTATCTTCTCTGCTATTTGTAACAGCCACTTTGCTTTCTTGCATTTCCTTTTCTTTGGGATGGTTTTTGTTGCTGCCTCCTGTACAATGTTATGAGCCTCCATCCATAGTTCTTTAGGCACTCTGTCCACCAAATCTAGTTCTTTGAATCTGTTCTTCACTTCCACTGTATATTCATAAGGGATTTGGTTTAGATTATATCTGACTAGCCCAGTGTTTTTCCCCCACTTTCTTCAGTTTAAGCTTGAATTTTGCTATGAGAAGCTGATGATCAGAGCCACAATCAGCTCCAGGTCTTGTTTTTCCTGACTGTATCGAGCTTCTCCATATTTGGCTGAAGAGAACATAATCAATCTGATTTCGGTATTGCTCATCTGGCGATGTCCATGTGTAGAGTCACCTCTTGTGTTGTTGGAGAAGAGTGTTTATGATGACCAGCTTGTTCTCTTGACAAAACTCTATTAGTTTTTGCCCTTTCATGGATTGCTGCTTTGTCGTGGCGAAGGGGTTTGAGTAATTCAGAGTAATTATGGGCTATGCTGTGCAGGGATACCCAAGATGGACAGGTCATAATGGAGTGTTCTGACTAAACGCAAT